AGATGGCAGGTGAACTGGGTCTAAATTGTGAGTAGGAGTTACTCAGGTGATAAGCAGTAAGGAATGCTCCAGGCAGAAGGAACTGTACATGCAAAGGTCCTGTGTCAGGAGGAAACATAAGAGGAGCAAAAAGAAGGCAGAGTAGAGAACAAGGGGGCATGTGAGCAACATGAGGCTGGAGAGGAAGAGGGGTCAAGGCATCGGCTGCCATGTTGGGCATTTGAGTCTTTATTCTAAAAGCCATGGGTAGGAGCACCTGGGTGGCTCAGTGGGTTAAAGCCTCTGCCTTCGGCTCAGGTCATGATCCCAGGGTCGTGGGATCAAGCTCCACATCGGGCTCTCTGCTCAGCAGGGAGCCTGCTCCCCCCTCACCCCCACCTCACCTGCCTCTCTGCCTACTTGTGATCTCTGTCTGTCAAATAAATAAATAAAATCTTAAATAAATAAAAGCCATGGGGAGGGGTCCCTGGGTGGCTCAGTCCTTTGAGCGTCTGCCTTCGGCTCGGGGCCGTGATCTCTACATCCTGGGATCAGGCCCCGAGTTAGGTTTCCTGCTCAACAGGGAGTCTGCTTCTCTCTCTTTCTCTCTCCCCCTCTTTCTCCTCCTCTTTGCTCTTCCCCGCTGCTCATTCTCTCTCTCTCTCTCAAATAAATAAATAAAATCTTTGAATAATAAAATAAAAGCAATGGGGAGTCATTGAATCCTGCATAGGGAGAGAGTTCCCACACTTGAAGCAAGGATTATTCATTGAGGGCTAAGGGGCCTGAAACCCATGGTGGGCTTTGCTCTTAAGTTTTAGGATAGATGGACTCAGGGAGTCAGAGGTGAAGCGATAGGGCTCTGCCTACATCTGCAACCTAGTCTCCTCTTAGACTCTGGTTATCCCTTGCGCTGTTTTGCACTAAGCATGAATGAGATGAGACAATCTCAGAGAAGCCAAGTGAATTTCCTAAAGCTACACCACTGCCTGGAGGCAAGGATTCAATTCTCCTCACTCTCCAACCCCTGTTTTTCTACCTGGCTAATTCGGTGGCCCTGGATGATGGCTTTTGACCTGGACACTCATCTGTAGGGCCCCAGAGGGCAAGAACAGTATGTGTCTTGTGTGCAGCTCATCCCAGTGCCTGGCACTTAGGGCTCACTAAATGTGCCCTGCCCTGAGAAAGCCCGTGGCATTGTCTTAAGGGGACTCGTGTTTCATTCTGCCCATTTGTGGGGGTACCCATTCATTCCTTATTCCAAATGGGTCTCCCCATAGCCAGTGTCTCATTTTTCTAGGTCAGAGGCCAGTAAACCGCAGCTTGTAGGACAAATGTGGCCCTCCACCTACTTTTGTAAAGAAAATGTTATTGGCTCACAGCCACACCCATTTATTACATACGGACTGTGGCTGTGTCCATGTTTCCACCCTGGAGTTGAATATTTGGGACAGATCCACAACGCTGAAAAGATGCAGTCTCTCTGGTCCTTTACAGAAAAAGCTCCTTGATCCTATTCTAGGGAAGGAGTTGCCCTCTGGGGCTTTCTATGATGTCTGAGTAGGTTCCTAACCGGCCCCCACCCCAAGAGAATCCTCCAGATTCGGGCTGAGAAGCATTTGAGGAAGTGATGGGACTGGTCCCATTGCTGTGGCCAAAGGGCCTTGGGAAACCACAGCTTGAAGCCCCAAGAAACACTGGGCTGGGCTGTGGGAGGGGCTGTCCCCCAAACCCCCTGGGCAGGTAAAGACAGAGAGGGTAAATGTCAAGTCATCCTGAAATCTAGGGAGTCTCTCAGGTCCTCGTGCTGCTTAACATCTCTGTTTCCCGGTCATAAAGTCGACATAGACGTCATTATATACACTTTTTTAATCTAAAAATATGGGGCAGGAAGACGTATGGGAAAAGAGAAGGGGCTGCCCATCCTTGGGCCACCCAGAGATGAGCACCCGGAGCCTTTCCTTCGGTGCCTCCTCTGAGCACCCGCCCGCACCTGAGAGTACCCTGTTTGCACATCTTTACTCCTGCGCGTGAGTGCTCTGTGCACACCCAGCATACGTGCGACTTTCACACCCGGATCGCGCTCCAAGGGGCGGGTTTCCATCAGGATGGAACTGGTCTCTCTTCTCCAGTGTTCCTCTCAAGTCAAGTATCATCGCTTTGCTCTCTGAAGGCATTTGGGGAGCCCTTTTCTGGGCTCTGCCTGCAGAGTGGAAACCTGCTCACTTTGAATGCTTGAATCTCACAGGGGTTAGGTGTCATGAGATGTGGTTATTCTGGTCTTCACGCGGATGGCACGGGCCGGAATCTTCATAGCGGTCGTTGCTCTTCGGCTAGCACATTCAGCTGCTCTGTATGGAGGCCGAGAAAATTAAGGCCATCCCACCTCAAGTTTAGCTGATGTGGGAAAAAGAGGCAGAAGAAAATCATTAAAATTCCTCACCTACTGACAAGCCCCTGAAACAGACAGAGTGGCTCTCCCCTGGGGACTCAGCTGCCCTCACCTTGAGGTTTTGCTAAGGACAATCCTAGCCTGACCGACCCCCTACTCCAACAGGTCCGACCAGGATCCTATAAGTCTACTTTAATAATTCCTTTAGGAAACTTTATCTCTAAACCTCCAAGATAGTGTCAACAATCATTCCCAAGCACATGACCCACTGATACACATCTAAAGGGTCTCACGAGAAGATTTTTATTACTGGGAATAAATAACCTTTCTCCCAACAATAGCTAGCCCCTCAAGGTCCTGGAGACCTTGCTTCCAAAATTCCTTAGAGACTAACATCATCCCTAATCCCCTTTGTCCTCACCCACCGCCAAGTCCACCCCTACTCTGCCTCTAAAAACTCTGACTGTAATCTGGTTCGGGGTCCAAGTCCCTATTCCGCTGTGCCGGATATACTTGGGCCCAAGCTTAAGCTTGTCAAAAAAACCCTCGTGTGATTGCATCGGTGCTTGGCTCCTTTGGTGATCTCTCCGACACGAAAACCCAGGCATAACACTCTGGTCTTACCTTGAAATCACGTACCTGCCCCTGAGTTATCCCCTTTCCTTTTGCTGGGGGCTTGCTGGCCTGAAGAGGAGACAGGCTGCGTGTGGCTACTCAGCCAGGACCATCGTGGGCCAGGGGGTGAGAGGGTGGGCTTTTTCCTCTTGTTGCCTGGACCCGGCTCTGCCCACTACTCTGAGTGACCTTGAGCAGGGCACAGCCTCACTTCGAGCCTCAGTTTCCCCAAAGGACTGCTCTGAGCGTTCTATGAGCTGATATGACGCAGTGTCTCGAGTGTGGCAGAGGCCAAGGAAATGTTAGGCATTTGTACTACGAGGCTTTGCAGGAGAGGAAGCCAAGGCTTGAGAGAGGACACTTGCCCAAGGTCATGCAGCTCATACGTGGCCCGTTATCAGCGCCCTGGCCTTGATTGTTGTTCCCCAAAGGGTCCTGCTCCGGGATGGTTTTCAAAGCTCACAGATGGCATAAAGGACCAGGGGCGGGTCTGTGGTACAGTTTCCTTTTCCCCAGGTTGTACCCGACCCTCCTGAGAAGAAGCTTGTGGCTGCTTCTGGGAGGGGGAGGAAGGGATGCATCTGGGGGATGTGGGACTCTGCCTCCGCTTGTTCTGGAACCCCCCCAACACTAGTCCTCCCACCCCAGTGCTGCAGGTGGGATAACAGCTTCAGATGCCACCCCATTCAGAATTTATCGAATGGCCAGCTCCCCTTGCACCGTGGCCTGGAAGGGGCCGGTCCCCACTCTAAGGTGACCAAGTCATTTATTTGCCAGAGACTTGCCCAGTTTTAAGCCTGAAAGCCTTGCATCCCCAGAGGTCCTTCAGTCGCAGGCAGACTGGGAAGGTAGGTCCCCCTCCTTTGTCTTCTGTATCTTTAGGACCTCTCCGTTTTTTTTCAGAACTGTGGATTTGGTTCAGGATGAGCTGGGTTAAGGGCTGAGGGGTGGGGGACCCAAGGCAGTCCCAGCAGAGGGACTGTCCCATCTCTGATGTACCTGGGGGTCTCAGTGTTCCTCTCTCTATACAGACTGGGGAAGTTTTTGGGAGCTTCCAGAATAGAGGTTCTTTTTTTTTTTTAAGGATTTTATTCATCTATTGAGTTGCGAGAGAGAGAGAGAGAGAGAAAGAGAGAGAGCGAGCCCAAGCTGGGTGGAGGGGCAGAGGGAGTGGGAGAGACAGACCCCCGACCAAGAAGGAAGCCCAATGGGGGGCTCGATCCCAAGACCCTGAGATCATGAGCCACTTCTTGGAAGATTCTCCTGACAGCCCCGTCCCCTGCCCAGCGTAGGGTAGGGGCCCCTCCCTAGCTCACCGCAGGGTGACACTCTGTTCCCTTGTTCACCTGCTGGCTTCCCCACCAGATGGAAGAGCTCCACGAGGACCGGAGCCTGGAAGAGCTTGCCTTCTGGACCTCAGAGCACCCAGCCTGACGAACGAGTCAGGCTGGGGAGATAAAATAAGCAGGTCTTGCCCCGGTGGAATTTGCCACGTAGCTCCTCAGAGCAGGTACTGCTTCTGGCTAAAAAGACCACCTGTGCCCCTGGAGGCGGATCCTGAAAGAACGGCTACCTCGTATCTGCAAACCTCGGGAAGGTCTGTGTCCTATGGCTTCTCCCACCCGGATTCCCACCTTGGACAAGAATCTAGAACCATCCTCATTTGCATCCGGTCACTCCCTTCCTTCCAGGGTGGGGCCCTCCTCACCCCTCTTCCATCACCGCGGGGTTGTGCCTCTCAAGCAGCCCTCCCCAGGAAAGCTTCCATGTGGTTTTCAGCATGTGCGTGGTTACCGGAACCCAAGAGGGCTCGGCAGGTCCCGGTCTTCTACTACCCACCCAGTCTCAATCCACACTGCCACCAAAGCTGTCACAAACAAGGGGGTGTGGGCCGTCACGTGGCCCTGTCTGAGTAACCACATTCTCGCTTCCTTCTTTCACACAGACCGTTGAGTGTTGGCGGGGTCCGGGACCACGGCCGGGGTGCCACAGCAGTACTCTGGCTGTGTGGGCTCTGTCCCGAGTTGCTACAGCAGAGAAGTCGCTTCTTCTGGGCGCTCGAGGCAGCTGTCCCATGCTCTGCTGAGCAAGGTAAGTGCCCGCTCACCCACCCACAGGAAGCGGTTGGGGAGGGCGGTAGCCTGGGACCAGCAGGCCCACCTGACAGCAGCGGGCAGCCCCAGCCCGGGGCAGGGCCTGAGCTCTGAACCAGAGCCCCGGGGCTCAGGATCAAGGTCATGGCCTTATTCCGCTGTGTCTTCTGGATCCTGCTGCCTCCCTCCACTTCCGTCCTACCCTCCCATCAGACTTGCCAGCACCAGTTGGCTTGAGGGAGGGGGAGGGTTTCTAAATTTGAAAAAAATCACAGAAATCAGGAACATGTCCCTAAAAATCATACGAGCCCTGCTTTCATGCAAGGCACAGGGAAGTGAGGGGATTGGCTCAGAGCAGAGGTAGGTGTGGATCTGGGCAATTCCAGAAAAGGGGAGGGCAGGGGCAGGCTGTATCCTGAGGCCTCTTAGGCTATGGGTCCATAACAATATTATCTCCAAAGTCATGTTTTTCATGCTTTTTATAAAGTTGAGAAGATAACACTAGTCTGTAGCAAATCATGAAAATGCTAGAATTAGGATACTAACTAATATTGCTAGCGAAAGAGAAAATAATCATGATTAGAATACATAAACAATGATCAGGGCTCCGGTCGCCTGTAATTCTCTTCCTCCTTCCTGACCCTCTTGTTTTCTTCTTTTCCCATCTCGGACTTCCAGCCCCCTGAGACCAGGTCTCTGGGTGGGCAGGGAGCTCAGGAGGTGACCCTCCTGGCCCCAGGCCCTTCAGCCGCTTCCTCTGGGGCTTGCCGGGCCGCACCCGAAATGGTAGATGCTTCCCTCACCAGGCTTGGCCAGTGGCCAGGGGAGATTGAAGCCCGGACGGCGGAAGGGACTGGGCCGCCAGGCTGTGCGCCTCCCGGGAAGCTTCGCCAGGCAGGAGCGGTGTCTTCCGAGGGGCCGGGCAGTCATCCAGGAATGCTGTGCCTCCCTTTTGCTGATGAGAAAATTGAGGCTCAAAGGGGAGAAGCAGCCACCCAGCGTGGCCTGGCTGGGAGATGGCTGGCCTTGGACTCGCTGCCCACCCCCATCTAGCCGCAGGACCCTCGTGGAGCCCAGGGTGACCCCAGCCGTGGTCTCTTGGTCTCCTTTGCTGAGCTTGAATGAGAGGACAGCAGTGGGACCTGGGGCTCAGGCTAGAAGGAGAGAGGATGGCTGGAGTGTGTCCGTGCGTCTGTGTGCTGGTCCATCTGCCTGTCCATACACAGTTCTTCAGACAATCCTCAGTTGGTAAACTAAAACCAAGTTTGGGTCTCTTTGAATTCATTTGTGCAAAATACCTTGCTTCCTCTATGCTAGGCTGCCGAATTCAGGGTCCGGACGGTAAAAGTTGGTTTTGTTTTGTTTTGCTTTGGTGGGTGCAGGGAGCAGAACAAATCTTAGCCATCACTGTGCCCTGTATTCCTGCACAGAGCTATGGAACAGTAAACAGGCGTATCTGCGGTATCAGTTTATGGAGATGGGTGGTAATTAGGTAAAAAAGCAGCCAGAAAGGGCTCCTTGATGGGGTCAGTGGCGACGATGAGAAAAGTCGGGAAGGGCAGGACGGCAAGCCCAGTGCAAGAACACACATGCTGGTTGCCTCTATCCCATTCCCGAGTCACCTCCTGCAATGGGCCTTTGGTGAGCCCCCAGGAGGCCAGGCCTGCCAGTGCTGGGGACCCGGTGGAGACCCTGTCCTCCGAAAGCTTGCAGTCTGGTGGGGGCGGTGGTGAGGCAGCACTGTGCCTGTGCCCCACTGGGCAAATGTCACAACACCGACTAAGTGCCTGCCTGTCTGCTAAGCCCTGAGCATGGGGCGTGAGCAGCAGGACATCAGTGGTTCCCATTCTCTTGAAGTTTATGGGTCAATGGGTATGGAGTGTCAGACAGTAAACAACATTTTAACGATTTAAACAATGGGAACGGTTAACTGTGCCTGAGCAATCCAGGTTGGCTTCTTGGAGGAGGCGTCATTTGCTCAGCTCTGGAGAACTAGCTGTGACTGTGAGTTGGATCTGGAATGAGAACAGCCAGGGGCAAGTTGCTGAGCCCTCTCCTACTGGGTGCATGACTCTAGGTGCCAAGTGGGTCTCGGTTTCTCTCTTGCATCTTTCACATGCAGTTAGTAGAGGAGGTGCTAGGGCCTGAGTGAGCCAGTGATTCATGCATAGCTCTTAGATCAGTCCCTGGAACATGGTCTACACTTGATTCCTGTGATTTGCAAGCCGGGGATGGCCTGGGGTTTGGTGTAGAGACAGTTTTCTAGGGCTCCCTATCCCAGCCCTCACTGTCAGACAAGATCAGAGGTACGTCAAAGCTATTCCAGGGTGGGATTTTTTCCAGGCTATGGCCCTGAATGCAGAATGACAGAGACAACAGCTTGCCATTATGGAGCACTTACTGTGTGCTAAACACTCAACCTGAACCAGCTCACTTCAACCCACAGCCACCCCACAACGTGTACATGCTATCATTGTCCTTGTGTTCCAGACATGGGACCTGGGGCTCAGAGAGGTGAGTTCAGTTGCTCAAGGTCACACAGCTTGTGCATGCCAGAGCTGAACCTTGATCTGGTTTGATGCTGGACCTGATCCTGAGTTGGGCCAGGGCCTGTCCTGGCTGCCAGGACTGAGAACTGCCCTGGGGTCAGCGGGGGGTGGAAGGAGTGGGGGACACCTGGGGCTCGGTTGACCTACTTGCTGATCTGGAGCCTCCCCTTCTCTCGGCCTGCTGTTCAATCCACACCCTGAGATGCTCTGTCTTTCCAGTCCCAAGCTTCCAAACTCCTGAGTGCAGGGATTCCCGGGATCCAGGATTCTGACTGTGAAGTCCCAAGCTTCTTGGAATTGCCATGGTGTCTTTCCCGAGCAGCGCTGGGGGTGCCGCCCGCAGCCGTGTCTGGAGCAGGGCATGGCCCCCCACCCCCTCCGCTGCCCCTGCCAGCAGCATGCCCCTCCACAGCCTGGGTGGGGCCCCAGCAAAGCAACCTGGTTTTAGGGTAAAAGACAGGAAATGGGCCATATCTGACCTACTCCGCTAGATAAGCAGGAAGACAGGACGGAGCAGCTCTTTGCCCCTCTCTCAGAGCCCCTCTCCTGTGGTAAGTGACCGTTTTCCTCCCTCTGGAGGGAGAAAGGTGTAAGGGGAGGGCTTCACCACTCTGAGGAATTGCCTTCAGTCTTTTGAGCCTTGCTGTCCTCATCTGTGTAATGGGAATCGTAGCACCCAGTGCTGGTGTGGAATGGTCCAGCTTTCTGATACGCCGTTCTCATTATATGACAATACATTGATCTTAGCAAATATTAAAGTCAGGATCTTACTTGCCAGACACAGTGCTCACACTCCGCCCCTCTCCTTGCCACCTGCACAGCCCCCTCAGAGCCCCAGTAACCCCGGGAGCTGGATTTTCTTCCTGTCGAATGAGCCGATGCCTGCCCAGCTGCAGCCTGGCTCATGGCTGTGGTGTTCGTGGTCCCTGTAGTCCCTCTCCCTTGAAGCCCATGGAGTGGCAGGCACCAGGCTGAGGTGACCAGCCAGCCCAGCTCGCCTGGGACCCAGGCAATAGGACGAGGGATAGGGGATGAGAGGTTTTGAGCACTAACAGCAGGAACACCCTGGACGAGGTTGTCGCCCCCAAATAGACCTGGACTGGGCAATGGGGCTTTCCTGGTGTGCCCTGTCTTATCTCCACACACACGGCGCTCTCTGCTCTCCTGCAGGACCCCATGGCATCTCTCACTGCCCCTGGGGGAGGTAGGGAGGCCACCACGGCCACACCTTCCCTGACCCTGAGCTTTCTCTTTCTTCTGCATCTCTGTCTGCAGCCCCGAAGAGGGTCCCCCGGTAAAACACCCCTACTGGATGCCAGATATCAGAGACCTTCCCTGCAGCATGCTATCTGATTCTCAGATCCATTCTTTTTTATTTATTTATTTATTTATTTGTCAGAGAGAGAGAGAGAGAGCGAGAGAGAGTGCGCGTGAGCGTGCGCATAAGCAGGCAGAGTGGCAGGCAGAGGCAGAGAGAGAAGCAGGCTCCCTGCGGAGCAAGGAGCCTGATGCAGGACTCGATCCCAGAACCCTGGGATCATGACCTGAGCCAAAGGCAGAGGCTTAACCGACTGAGCCATCCAGGTGTATTCTTTCAAGCCAGATTGCCTATTTTACAGTTAGGGAAACTGAGGCAACCTGCTAGGGTTACACAGCTGCTGAGTGGTCTCCCCTCCAAGCTGCCTGTGCATGCTGGGCATGGTGGGGATGGGCACAGGGAGAGGGTAGCCGCTCCTTCCACGCCTTCCTCCCCGCCTCTGGGCTGCAGAAAGTTGGGTCCTGACTCATCAAGGTGCATCCTCCGCCCAGGAACCGGGGGTGGAGCCTTTTGTTTTTGTCCCCACCCTGTCTGCTTCCAGGAAGTGGCTGAGGGCTCTGCCTTCCAGGAACCGAGAACTGCCAAGTGGGGGTGGTGGGTACAAGTCTTGGTAATTTTGAAATACGGATCCTAAAGTTCACCCTGCCTCCTCCACAAGCAAAGAGATAACCCCCGAGATTACCCCCAAGCAGGAACTCCACCCCTGCGCAGACACTCGCCTCCTAAAGGCGGGTTGGGAGGCAAAAAATGTTCATGCGCATGTGTGTGGGGGAGGGATACATTTATTAAGCCCCTACTGCAAGCCTGGAGCTTTGGAGTCCATCATCTGAGTCCATCCTTCCCTTAATAGCTCAATGAGATAGATGAAGATCTGTATCCCCATTTTACAGATGAGAAAACCAAGGCTCAGAAATTCAAGGTCATACAGCTTAGAAGGAACAGCATTGGGATCTGAACATGTTTTTGTCTGACCACATGGTCTGTGTCTCAGTCATAGCACCTAGTTCATATGGGACAGAACTTTCTGGATGAGATGGCCTTCAAGGTCCTTCTTCTTCCTCTTCTTCTTCTTCCTCTTCTCCTTCTTCTTCTTCAAGATTTATTTGTTTATTGAGGTGGGAAGGGCAGGGGGAGAAGGGGAGAGAGAATCTCAAGGAGACTCCATGTGGAGCACTAAGCTGACCGGGAGCTTGATCCCATGACCCTGAGATCATGACCTGAGCCAAAATCAAGAGTCGGATGCCTAACCGACTGAGCCACCCAGCTGCCCCAAGGTCCTTCTTATTCTTACCCTGCCTTTCTTCTCTCAACTGGGTCCCCAGTCCCAGCCACAGAAACCAAAACCAGCCAGCTAAGGTCTCTTCCAAGCCGTTGCTCCTTCTGCCCCCTTCAGCTAGGTCAGGTTTCTCCACAGAGCCTCCTGAACCTTCCCTGGGCCCCAGTCTGATCTCTGCCACTTACCAGCTGTGTGCCTTTGGGCAAGCTGCTTTACCTGTCTGAGCCTTATCCCTCCTCAGTAAAATGAAAACAGTTGTGAAGGCCTGATGTGTCTGGGGCCAGTATCCTTAAGTTTGGTTTAAGGAATTATTTTAAGACATGATCAGAATGACATTTTAGTTTTATTTTTTTAAAATATTTTATTTATTTATTTACAGAGATCACAAGTATGCAGAGAGGCAGGCGGGGGTGGGGTGAAACAGGCTCCCCGCTGAGCAGAGAGCCCAGTATGGGGCTCAATCCCAGGACCCTGAGATCATGACCTGAGCCGAAGGCAGAGGCTTTAACCCACTGAGCCACCCAGGCGCCCCAAGAGTGACATTTTAGAAACCAACATCAACTAACAGGTGAAGGAGATCAGGTTGAGCCTGGAAGCTATGGAACCTACGAGTAAGCTATAGTCACTCAAAGGAGGAAGAACAACTGGTTTGCTCTAAATTATGTGAGGTACAAGGGAAATATTGGAAACGACCAAGGCTCTGCTCCAGACAGTGCTTGGGATTGTGCCCTGCTGAGGGTATAATGTCCAAGAAAACCAGGAATACCTCAGTCCTGGCCCAGAACACAGCTGTCACTCCCCACAGGTTCTTCAAGTGCATGATTCTGAATCCCGCAAACAACCCACCAGTGCAGGGGGAGCATGAGGAGAGCACAGGTGTTCACAATGCCAGGAAGAAAGACCAAGGAGAGGGTTGAAAGGAGAGGCACTCTCCTTTCTGGCTGCTGGTCAGGGGGCAGAAGGGTTCCAGGAGAATGGGCCCCCAGGCAAGTGAGGTGACTGTCAGCTCCCGGAGGGCAGGACCGTTCTGAAGAGATGGGAGTTTTCTCCTGGCCCCAAATGGTACAGTTGATGGCTCTGGGCCCTTACAGATTTACAGGAGAGGCTTACTGATGGAGCCCAAGTAGCTGCCCTTTGCTGGAGCTTGCGATAGGAACGAAGTACTAAGGGCTTCGTTCGTAGGCATTGCCTGTTTCGACCTCACAATAAACTATGAGGTAGGTACCGTCATCCCAGTTGTGGAAATGAGGACAAAACCAAACAGAGACACTGAGAGAGGATGGGAAAAACTGAGAATCTGAAGGACAGGCCAGCCCTGTGTAGGGTGGGAGCCAATTCGAAGGAAAGTAGGAGAGAGGGATGTGGAGACACAGGTCAAGAGCAGACTCCAAAAGGCCCCAAAGGCCCAAACAAGGAGCTTCATCTTGTTGACCCATGGTCTCCAGACTCGCTGGCTTGTGGACCCCATCCGTGGACAATATATGTACATGGCTCTATCCATGAATTGTAAGCAGGCACTACTGGGCTCATGATAGGTGATGAATGTGTGCAAAACTAGAAATCACAAGGGTTGACATAACTGTCTAATGAGAATCTCTGAGAGTTTCTTTCTATAGCTCAGTGGACTATCTTGCCTACAGTTTTGCAGTTTGAATTACCAAGGGTAGGGAGGTAAAATTTCTAGGCACCATAGAGGAGAGTGGCGGGGCCCTCTGGAGGGACATATGGATGTCGCTAAATAATGATAGTTGCTCTTTGCAGGGGAGCCCCTGTGTACCCGGCATGCGCTGGGTCCTGCGGATGCTTGACGCTAGGTGCCTGCCCCATCAGACCTACTCTTGGCTCTGGCTGTCCGTCATCGCAGTAGAGGGGCCTTGGCAAGCCCAGGGGTGAGTCTGTCCTGATGTCCCTCTGTCCGTGTCTCCCCCCAGGTGCCATGTCTCTGCAAGTCCTCCTTCTTCTGATTTTGCTGGGCCCTGACAGCAGCCTCCAGCTGTGGGGGATAGGGAAGAATGGAACCCAGGAGGCCCCGGATGCCCTGCTCACCCGGGGCCGGAGACAGGTGGATGAGGACCAGGAAGAGGACTCGTATGACTATGTTACAGAAGGCACAGGCCCTCCAGAAACGCTTACAGATAACCCTGGGTCTTTGGCCCTGACCCCAAAACTTCTGGCGGAGTTGGCAATATTGGGGCATGGAAATCCTGAGCCAGACACTCTGGAGGTGGCCACAGGGGAGTCGGCTAGCCTGGATGCAGGAGGGGTGACCCTGGGGAATCTGAGCATGGAAGTGGCCACACAAGGCATTCCTGTCACACTGAACCCACTGACCAAAGAACAGGCCACTACATTACCTCTCATCACAGAGGCCCCATCCACAGAGGGGGCTCTGTCTACAGAGCGGGCCACTACTGAGGCCCTGTCCACAGAGCCAGCAGCCACAGAGGCACTGACCACGCAACCTGTGGACACAGAGACCCCGTCCATGAAGTCTACTGTCGTGGAGACCCTGTCCACAGGGCCAGAAGCCACGGATGCCCTGTCCACGGAGCCTACTGCCACAAAGACCCCGTCCATGGAGTCTACTGTCATGGAGATGCTGTCCACGGGGCCAGAAGCCACAGATGCCCTGTCCACGGAGCCTACTGCCACAGAGGCCCCATCCGTGAAGTCTACTGTCATGGAGACCCTGTCCACGGAGCCCACTGCCACAGAGCCCCTGTCTGCAGATCCAGCCACCACCATAGGGCGCCTAACCACCGTCCCTCTTGTGACCTCTGATCCTCAAAACAGCACCACTGTGGCAGCGGGCAATTTGTCTGCTGTCCTCACCAAACAATGGAAAAACAGGCAGCGTCTCTCCCCACAGAGCTCCGTGGCCCCCATCCCCACGGGGGCCCCGGACCGCATCCCTGTGAAGCAGTGCCTACTGGCCATCCTCATCTTGGCCCTGGTAGCCACAACCTTTCTCGTGTGCACCGTGGTGCTGGCCGTCCGCCTGTCCCGCAAGAATCACATGTACCCCGTGCGCAATTATTCCCCCACCGAGATGGTCTGCATCTCATCCCTGCTGCCTGAGGGGGGCGAGGTGCCCCCTGCCACGGCCAATGGGGGCCTGCCCCATGCCAAGAGCCAGGGCCAAAAGGCGGAGCCTGGGGAGGGCCGAGATGGGGACGACCTCACCTTGCAGAGCTTCCTCCCTTAACCCCTCCGTTCGTCCACCTGAGCAGGACCCTGGCTTCCTCACTCCCTCCAGGGCCCACCGGGACACCACTGAGCACCCAGGCTCTGTTCCATGGTCTGGGTTTCCCTGGGGCCCCCAGGGATGGGGACCTTTAGGACAGGGTTGCCCCACAGGCCTGAAAGGGGCTGGACTCCTGTAGCCAAAGCAGGACTGGTGAGCAAGCCACTTTGGTCTCCCTCCTGCCTCCAGTGGAGGCTGGAGAGGTCCCTCCACCTCCCTGCCTCCCACCTGTCTGGGCTCCCTCTAATGCCTCCAACCACTGAGGTCTCCTCCCCTGGCACCCAGGAAAGACCCAGAGTCTTCTGGCTGCGCTGGTCACCGTACAGGAATGGGCATTTGGGGGAGGGGTGCCGGGTTCCGGAGGCCTTTCGCAATCACCCCTGCACTTGAGGACAGCTTGGCTTTTCTTGGGCGTCAACCCAGGGAGCCCAGGGTGAGATCCTGGCCCGAGGTCTGGGGTGTACTTTGAGAGGGTTCTTTGAGGCTGTGTGGACCAACGAGCTTCCTTCGGGGGACAGAGGAACCCCTCTCTCGTCTGCCCCTGTGCCCACATTTTAGGGAGGGCTCTGTCTTGTTCACTGACGTGGCCCACTCCCCAGCCCAGAGCCTGGTACAGCACAGGCCTTTAATAAATATTTGATGAACAAATGATGCCTGAATGTCTCAGGGTATCAGGGTGCCTCCTTCTGGTGGGGATTGGTCCTTTGCTGTTCAACCCAGCCCCCTCCAGGAAGCCCCCTGTCCGGGCCTAAAGTTGACTTCAGCATTGTCTCTCGGACACTGGGACATGTTGGTACATCCTTGGGCAGCTGGGGAAGGTTTTAGGCTGTCATGGGGACACGGAGGCTGTTCCCTGAATCTACTTTATTCAACTCACCCGTGACCTAGTTCTGGCCTACAGAATTTGTCCCCCACCCCCTCAAATCTCAGACAGACGTCAAGGCCATCCTGCCTGGAAACCCACCATGACCTCTGCCTTCTATAGGGGGCCTGTCTCCCATTTAACACTCACCCCTCACAGGGCTGAGCACAGCTGCAGCCTATAAGGTTTCTGTACAAAGTCTGGGGCCAGCAAACCTTTTCTTAAACGGCCAGACCAAAAATATTTTACATTTTGCAGACCACGTGGTCTCAGCTGCAACTTCTCAACCCCATCCTCCGTCCTCGTAGATCAAATGCGGTGCTGGACGGTGTGTCCCGAATGAATGGGGTGGGCTAGGTTCTAAATAAAACTCTATTTACAAGCAGGCGGCAGGCTCTATGTTTGCTGACCCCCGATTTAAAGCATTGGGCAAGCATCCCGGTAGTGTGCGACGTTGTGATTTTAGCCCTAGGAGCCCCATATTGGGGAAACTCCGCAGCCCCAGCAAATCAGGACCACTGGCTGCCCTACTCAAACTAGGCTCGCCATGTGCCTGCGTTATTGCCTTTGGACCCACGCTGACCCCAAGGGTCGGATCAGCCCGCCAAAGCTGCCAGAGTGGCAGGAGCCTGGGTTCAGACCTGGGATCTTTCGCCTCCTGATGCTTCTCCATCACTCTGGGATCCAGAGAAGGAGCTGCTGTGACAAGCACTCTGTTTTACCTTCCGGGAGGGGAGTACAGCTCATCTTGGTGGACTGTTTCTCTTCTAGAAAAATACATCCAGTGGCCTCCTTGGGGCCGTGGATCCCTTCCCTTCAGGGTGTGGCCTGCAGAGAGAGTTCAAAGACAGGCTTGAGTCCCGGTAGGTATCGGCTGCAGCTGGAGATGGGGTGGGAGACTGGCCTGGCAGGAGGGAACGTGGCAGGCCCTGGGGGCAGAGTCAGAAGTGGAGGGATGTCGGCTCCTGCCCCCAACTCTCCAGTGTGACACGCAAGGAAGGCGTTCAGGGCATTTTGGTGGGAGAGGGGTGTCCACCCTGGGCCGGGGCAGCTGACCCTGGAAAAGGTGGGATTATGCATTAGGAGAAACATGGCTTTACTTGCCCTTTGGAAGTGATGAGAAAGTGATGGGGGACTCGACATCATGGAGCGGGGGACCAAGGCCGAAGGACTAGGGGGACATCTGAGCAATGTCACCTCGTCCTTCTGGGCAGGGAGCAGGTCCCCACGTTTCCCGCTCCACTGGAGGACACTGCTGCCCCAGAGCCCTTTGGCGGCTTTCCCTAAAGGCCCAGGGACTGAAGTGGGCGTTGGGGGATGACAGGTGCTCGAAGCAGCCACCAGGAGGCGACCGCCATCAGCTTTTGGAGCTGTTGAGAGCTGGAGCTTCCCAGTGTGGGAGTAGCAGGGGTTGCAGAAACAGGGACGGGCTGCAGACCCAGAACGAGGGCCCCTGGGGTGGATTTGTACCCAAGCGGTGATCTGTGGTGCTCGCCAACCCATCGTTGGTGTAAATACTCCCATGGCTGATTTTGAGTCACCAACTAGGCATAAAATAAATGATACAACAAAGGTAAATCCTCTCAAGAACATAGATAAAAGCAGAATGTAGTAAAATAATTAGGAAGTGATGAATGTTGAGTATTGGAGGTTGTTTGTTTTTTTTTTTATAATTTAACTTATGAAACAACTGGCTTACAAAATTCTGAAAAATCCAACAGTTGGCCCTCGGAGATGGCTATAGGCTGTCTCCCTCGTACCATTGTGCCCTCCTCCTGCCCGACCTCCCCTCGACCTTGGACTTCACTGCCTGAGTCACCCATTCTTCCATTTGGCACATATATTCTGAGCACTAACATCAACATGGCCACGAGTCCCCTCAGACAGCTTGGGAAGGAGGACTTGTATTCTTCTTATTTTACAGAAGAAGAAACTGAGGCAGTCACCTATCTCAGGTCACACATAGGATCTGGGACTGGAACCCAGACCTGAATCAGAAAACCCTGTTCCTACCACAATGTCGTGCTGTCCTGAAGGTCACAGCAGGGTTCTGGGGGAATGCCGTGCCCGAAACTCTCCCCACTGCTGACCTGTCCTGACTTCTGGAAGTCCCCATTAATCACCCTTGCATCTCCTGGTGGCTGAGGGAAGGCACTGATACTTGCGAAGGTGACAGTGTCGAGAACAGGTTGCAGTAATGCTGGGAGTCCAGGACAAAGAGAGATGGCAGTGGGAGAGGGCTGCGGAGTAGAGCCAGCATGTCCTGGGCATTTAGTGCATGTCCAGGCCCATGCTGAACACTTCAGCTGCATGATCTACTCAGGCCTCCTGGGATGTGACTGTAATTATTATCCCATTTTACTGCTGGGGAAACTGAGGTTCAGGAGGCTGGATCACTTGCGCCAGCAGGTTGCATTGCTAAGAAAGCAGACTCTGCTGACTTCAGCTCTGGCAGCAAGGAAGGAAGGAGGGTAGACAGGAAATCAGGAAACAGGGGCGGGAGAGGGGGATGCATACTAAGTTTACTCTAGGTCTCTTGTGTCTCCCGGGCTGGGTTGCCAGCCCTGCGGTGGTTTATCCGGCAGCTGATCTGGGCAGAGGTGCCTCAAACTTGCCCTCTATATCCTGCCCCATCTGCCACGCAGCCAGGCCACATAACTCAGCTATCATGGTGTGTCCATGCTGTGCCAGGCACCATGCTAGCTCCAGGGGATGCCATGTGGGCTCCTGGCCTGGAGGGAGAACTAGAGATTCATCAAAGGATCACCTAGAAAAATAGAAGATCGTGGTGGGGCCCAGAGCCCAAAAGGAGGGGTGCTGGGGGCTGTGAGCATGTGCAATGTGGCCAGACCTTGGGTGTGGGCTGGGGAGGGGTCAGGACAATGTTCGAGGCTGGACAGGTGCAAAATTTTGAGGGTGGTTGTAGAGAGGAGAATGTTCCAGGGACTGAGGACAGTGTAGAGAGCAGGGTGGGGGCTTTGGGAGAATGGTTGAGCGTGGGGCGGCAGGAAGGAGCCAGAGTGGCTGCAGGGGAGGGGGGAGGTAGGCAAGGCTGCGTGACGGTAAGAAGGCCTGAGTCAGCGTGGGAGGCACAAGAGGTGGGGGATCGAGAGATAACTGTGAAGCAGGAAGGGTAGGAGCTGGTGATGCACTGGCAGGTGAGGAGGAGGGAAGCGAATGGAAATCTCGAGTGTCCTATGTGAGCATCATCAGTGGAAGGAGCAGGTTGGCTGGAGGGAAGGGCTTTGGCCCTGAAGAGTCTCCAGGGTCCGGTCTGGTCCATCTCCAGGCGGAAGGGTCAAGAAGGCTGGCAGAAGAGATGCTCAACATCATTAGCCAATGACAGCCCCTGTGAGATGTCACCCCGTGGCTCCGGAAGGGACTACCATTCGAGGCCCAAGGTACCATGCGCTGACGAGGCCGGGGAGAAGCCAGAACACTCCCACGTGGCTCGCGGGAGTGCAGCAGGGCGCAGCCACGCAGGAACCAGTGTGGCGGTTTCTTATTAAGTTAGTCGCGGATTCCCCGTGTTGCATGTTCCCCAAGGTGCATATCCGGGAGACTTCGAAATCCTTTTCCTAGGCATTTCTGCAAAAGAATGAAGACGTGTGTCCCTACAGAAACCTGTATGCAATGTGTATGGCAGCTTTATTCATAGTAGCCCCAAAGCAGGAAACAATCCAAAGATCCGTCATCTGGTAAACGGATGCGTGAACAGTGGGACCTTACTCGGGATAAAAAGGGGCGAGCGGTTTATCCATGAGCCGATGGGGACAAATCTCAAACACACGGTGAGTTAAAGAGGCCGGACACAAAGAGCTATTTGAATGCTATGTGGCTTCCATGATACAAAGTCCAAGAATGGGCAAAGCCGATCTAGAGTGGTAGAAATCAGCTCAGTGGTCACCCTTTTGGGTGATGATCTAGGAGGGCCTGGAAGGAGGCTTGTGGGGTGATGGGGACATTGTCGATCTTAGTCTGGGTGCTGGTCACACGGGATCCTCCTCAACTCTTCTCGTCTGACTGATGCGTTTCACTGTGTGGGAAGCGCACTCCAGTGCAAGCAAACGAACAAGCAGGCAGGCAGTGGGTTCCTGAGCCTGGGCACGCCTGTGGGTCGGCTCAGATGAAGGAGCACGCGTGTTCGGGGAGGGCTTGGACATCTGCCCCAGGGAGGCCGGAAGAGACCACAGTTTCTGGGGTCACCCCACCCGTGTCCTGCCTAGATGCAGCCCTCCTTCCCTTCAGTGGCTTCTCCTGTGCGCAGACGCCGTCACTGACTCCCTTCCTGGTGCCTGACGAGAGAAGATATTTCCAGTCTTGTCATTTGCTGGCCATTGACCTAAATGTTTCATGGTCTGGACAGATGACCTCGTCACTCCTCATTCCTCCTCACACATGCTTCCTGCTTCTGATCCATCACCTCCTTCCATTACCTCTCTCTGGGGCTCAGCTCCCCCAGGGTCCCCCAGGCATTTTCTGAGCTCACGGTTGATCTAGCCTTGCCTCTGGGCTCCGTTTGTTTGTCCCTCCTCTTCCTGATTCTTTGCCCTGAGCCCTGGGACAGAGACTAGACTGCCTGGCCAAAAGGTAACTCTAGTTTGTTCTCCTCCCTTCTGGGCCTCCATCTCTCCATCTGTAAAATGGGTGTCTGCGTGTCTGC